TCGCGCGAGGGCCATTCATCTTCCGCAAGACACGCCGTCAAGCCGCCATATTTCCAAGAAGTTTCTCTCTTCCGGCGGTCCAAGAAATAACGCTGACAGCCATTTCTAATACGGTGACCGTAATACGCGTCACCTGAGGCGACGTCGGAGAACACGACCTTGACGAGATATTGGAACGAAGCTCAAGGGTGCTATCTTTCTTCGCGCGCGGTACTCGAGGACGATCGTAACCCTCGTTCGACAACGATTAAAAGAACGTCGAGCTAAGATTAGACCGCTATAGACCACTGCTACGTTCGGATCTGGGTTAGGTCTGCCATTTCTGTCTTCGTAGTTTCGATCGTGGATTCTCTCTGCGGTGACTAGTAATATATATATAAAAATAATAATAATAATAATAATAATAATAAAATTTTCAGGCTTCTTCGCGAACGCAAGAAGAATCTACAATTTTTTTGATAAATACGCTATTCATTTTGGATATCCAGTTTCGATCAAATTAATTGCACAATTTTTCGAGGATTAATTTTTTTGATGGAAGCTCGAATCGATTATAAATTTTAATATACTAGTTGATAAATTGAATTTCGCAAAGGATTAAATTTATAATAAGTAAAAGAAGAAAGAGATTAATTAATTAACGATAAAATTATTTTTACAAATTTAATCGTTGCAACTTCAATTCGAAACTTGATTAAAAGGAAGCTGTATTCAAAGTTCGATAAATGACCAAAGGAATTCTTCCTATACACCCGGATGATTCAAGAGCATTCTCATGGATCAAATCGATATCGAGTCGAGGCGAATCGACTCGAAAACTATACGCGCCAAAACGTCCACGTTTCGACGTAATATTTCTTCAATTGGTATGTTATTGGTTTCGATTTCGACGGGTCGATAAACCGTTAAAACGTATGATCGAGTGAGAGAAAGAGAGAGAGAGAGAAAGAGCTATATCGAGCAAGAAAAATTTGATAATGTCACCCCACGGGAAAGGCCACGATCGATACCAATTTATCTTCCGGTTGAAACGCGATTCATTGCCGCAATTGCACGATGCAACGTCCGCAACACGTGATCCGTTTCCTCCATTTCGCATGGCGTGGAACTCGATTTTCTCAAAACCTACCCAATTGTGTGGCCGCGCCTAGCGAAATCGGATTCGTGTCTGGCATTCTTGTTCACCGTGATTCAAATTATCTCTTCTTTCAATATACGTGTACCGTTCGATTAAAAATATATTGAATTTTTCGAGTTCGATAATTGTACGATTTCTACGTTCGTTCGAAGATTATCATCATATTCGTGCGATTTTGTTAAATTTAAATTTGTGAAATTTATCCATCCAGCGAATATTAACATATATATTTTAAAGGAAATCAAAATTGTATGATTATGTTCCAATAGTCT